GGGGTGGGACCCATTGGGTGGCTAGGATTATGAGGGCAAGAGGGGCAAGGACTATTCTCCCCCAGGAGAGAAGCTTGGCCCAACCTGGATTCGAGTAGACTTGCGTTGGAATTGGAAATAAAACTTTTATAATTACTCCCTGATAATTGAGTCTTACCTTTTAATAAAATAATTATTTATTTTTTAATTAATTTTAATTTTGTATATTTATCTTTATTAAACACTCTACGATAAATATAAAATTATTATCAATAGGAGGCACTTTTAATAAAAGGTAATAATTATACATCAAAAAATTAAAAATGCCTTACGTTTTTTAATATTCAACTCCTTAAAAAAATGTCTTATATTTTTGAATGGAATAAATATTTTTCAAATAAAATATAATGAACTCTCTTTGATTTAGTTAAAATTATAAACATATGTCTTCTATTTTAAAATATAGATTTTAATTCAATTTTTAGCATTATTAAAAATATTTCATTAAATATTATAAAAAATCTTATTTTTTGTAATTATTTTAAAAAATTAAAATTATTATTTTATCCTTATAATATAGTTGCATACTCTCTTTCTCATGAACTTTAAAATAATTAATTATGGTAATAAATTACATTGAATTATTTACCGCTTATTATATTTAATCTCTATTTTATTAATTTTTGGCATAAATATTTGAAATATTATTTTATCCATCGTGTTTACTTAATTTTTTAAATTACTGAATAAATAAGTTTACATGACTTAAAAATTTAAATATGGATACAAATATGTATATACGTATGTAATTAATAAAATTTTTGGGTAAGCTGAGTGATGTTTAGACAACATCCATATTTAAAGAGGGTATTTTAATCTAATATATATGACTTAATAGTTAATTAACATTTGGATGCATAGAAATAAAATCTTAAATGTAGAAGAGAGATTTGTGTTTTGTAGATATATTAATTTTAGAAGATATTCATATAAGTTTTTAAAATAAAAATATAGATGTTGGATGCATAGAAATAAAATCTTAAATGTAGAAGAGAGATTTGTGTTTTGTAGCCATAATAATTTTAGAAGATATTTATTTAAGTTTACTCCCTCCGTTCAAAAATATAAAACATTTTTAGTCTTTTGAGGTATAATCATTATTTTTTTTTTCAAAAGTGTCCCTATTAATAGTAATTTTATATTTATTATAGGGTGTTTAATAGGGATAAATATAAAAAGATAAAATTAGTTTAAAAATAAATAATTACTTTATTAAAAAATGAGATTCGGTTAACGAATGGAGTAAAAATAAAAATATAGATGTTTATAATTAAAGAAAAATATATTTGGGTCAGTTTATTTTACTCTTGTTTTAATTAATATATACTTCTCTTATTGGGAAGAAGTGAAACTTCAGGTAATGGAAAAATTTTAGATGGGGACCCTTGATTCATCATAATGAAAATGAGGACCTTAGAATTTTTGAAATTTTACTATTGGATCTTTATGGAATTTATTTTTAATTTGTGATAGAAATGACAAAGCTACTCTCATTTGAATTTACAACGTAAATGAATTATTCGTTTTCATATTAAGTGTTATTTATTTACTTACAGAATATTGTTAATTATTTAACGTCACTTGTTTATAGCCCTAATTTTACTTGATTTTATTTTAAATATTGATTTCATAATAAAATGACTTTTTTGTTTCTATAATGCATGTTATTCATTTACTTATGATATGTTATTTATTGTCCTACTTTACTTATTTATAACTTTTAGAATGAAATCAAGTGAAAGTAGGGCTATAAATAAGTGAAATAAAGAAATGAACTATATTCCATAAGTAAATAAACAACATACAATATGAAAACGAATAAATTATTTATATTGTTCAGTTAAATGAGAGCAATTTTATTATTTTTGTCACAAATTCAAAAAAAATTCCGTACAAGTCGTTTAGTAAAATTTCAAAAAAAAAAAATTGGGTCTTCTTTTTTATTATGTTGGGTTAAGGATCCCCATCTGAAATTTTTCCTTAGTTAATTTCATTGAGTTTAATCAATTCATTTAATATAAAGATATTAAGAATGCTTGAATATTTAATATTACGGCATTTTTAAAGCATCTTCTTTTTTCTGTACAAAATTTATGTTAAAAAAATTAAAGCACAACCTTGATTGATAATTATGATTCAAAATTAAGGAGATATTAAGATTTATTTTTAGGAAGAATGACAAATAAATCATGTTGTAATGGGAAAATGATAAAAGAAAATACTAAAAAATGTAATAGTTACTTTGAAGTTCCTGTAAAGTTACGTGACATAAATATTTTTATAAAATTATTTTTCCAACTCTCAACAAAATAATACAACACGTAGATGTTAAAATGTAAATTGAAGTTGTTAATACCAAATGTAGAGTTATTAACATAGGAAATGTAATTGTTAATTTTGCTATGCGATATAAAATAAGTGTGCTTCATATTTAACTAATAACTTCAACTTAGTGATTAATAACTTCCATTCATGTATTAATAATAACTTCAATTTTTTTTAGGTCTATTAGCATTTGAACATGTGCCCAAGTCTTTCCCCGTCAGGTAATGAGCCACAAAGACAAAAGTCATGAATTCGGTTTAGCCATAAAATAATAACTACATTTTTTATATTAAAAAATCTACATTTATTATTAATATTTTTAGTTTATATTTTTTACAACTACACTTTTTATTATTTTGTAGAGAGTCAAAAATATAATTTTACACAAAAAAAATTATGTAAGATAAGTTTTCAAAGACTTCAAAATAATTATTTCATTTCATGTTATTCTTTATTATTTGTCTATTTCTGTAAGATATATTTGTCATTTTCTCTTTATTTTAATGAAATAAACAAGATATTCAATATTTTTAGATGGAGTTCGCATCCCCTGTCCACTATTCATTTTCCTCCACAAAGGTTTCTGGACAAAGGTGTAAGGGGGATCTGCATTCTGTGCTCATCATACTGATGAGCATGGCGCGCTCATCACTCTTGTGAGTGATCCTAGCCCTTCATTTTGTTTCAAAATGATCTCTATCCTTGATTTTATATTAATTTTTAAATATTTTAAATATTATATTTGTCAAAATAAAAATTATAAAAATTTTTAATATTAAATCTAGATTGCTCTCAATGCTCATTACATGATAAGCACTATCATGCACATTACTCTTGACAGGATCTAAACAATCCAAATTTAAATTTTTATTTTTATTTTATATTAATCAAAATAAAAATGCATAAAAAAGATTAAATTTTTAATAAATCTGTTGATAATCAATCTCATTTGTTTGAATTTAATTTAGATGATTTAATTTAATATAAATTTTTTATATCTTTTATAAATTGACTATACAAATATACTCTAGATAATCCAAATATAATTTAGATGATTTAATTTAATATTAAATTTTTTATAATTTTTACAAATTGACTATCTACATATATTTTAGATATTTATGATTTAACAATAATTTTTTATAATTTTTAGTTTGACAAATATAATATTTAAAATATTTAAAAATTAATTTAAAATTAAGGGCAGAGATCATTTTGGAACAAAATAAAGGGCCAGGATCACTCATAAGGGTGATGAGCACGGAATACAGACCCGGTGCAAGGGTGCTTATCGTAGAGCATCATCGAATAAAAGGTTAATAATCTTTATAATTAATTTTTGTTTTTATATAATATTTAATTTAATATATATTATTAAAAATATATGAATTTAATCTTGATTATATTTGCCGGTTCAATGCTCGTCCCAATTTTTGTTTATGTCCAGATAACACATAACTTTAAATTTTATTTTAAAATCACAAATTTCAAAGTAGAAATTGTTATTTAAATTATAATTTATGTTGAAATAACACCTTAAAAAACAAATTATTCTTTATATCTGTTATATCCACATGATAGCAAATTAAAAAATAATTTGTATGAAAAAAAATAAGTTGTTCACATTGTCCAGATGCATGGGGTAGCAAATCAATTATACACTTCGGAGTTAATTATATGATATTAATGAAGTTATTTTCCATTGCAAACCTTCTAAACTTCTCTTGTCCTGTGTATGCATATACTTGATAAATATTCCTTTAATCAATTATGATATTTTTTAATTAAAATCATTATTTCATATATACATAATTTTTATTTATTTTTAGTTTAACTATATTTATTAGTAATCGGTCAAATTTTTAAAATATAGGAACTACTAGCTAGGAATTGGAAAAATAAACAATGTTTAATGCATATATAGTATCTTTTTTTAATCTCTCTCGCTCGCTCGCTCGCTTTTATGTAAATTTGAACAGAATGAATCTGAAGAGAAATCAATGCAACTGATTGGTAAAAGAATAAAGTCATCATTAATGTTTGTGCTTTTGGTTCCAATTTAGTTTGCTGGGTTGCTTGATTTTGGTGAAAGCAGCTCGATGTGATAGTAGCTTGTTTAAATTATCGGAGTTTAGAGTTTGTCACCTTTTCTATTCTTACTTCACTGCTCTGAATTAGATTTCTCTGAGCTTGCTGGGACTGCTTTTCTTTGTGAAAACCTTTCTAATTTGTGATTCATTGGCACTAAAATAATTATTTTCTGACGAGGAATAAACTGATTATCAGAATAGATATTCTTACAGTATAATTATTTTCATGATTTCGCAATTTGTTTTCATGTTTTCTGTTGATTTCCATTTTTAGTGCTTCAATTTTTGTCAAATTTGCACATGATTTTTTTTTGGGTGATTGTAAAATTTGCTGGTTTATTTATTTATTTATTTATTTATTTTGTTTGATCATTTCCTTTGTTTCTTTTCAAGTGTTGTTCATAAAATTTGCATATCAGATCTGCTGTAGTAAAAAGCATGTACTAAAAATGCAGACTCTTCATGTGTGTGATGCAGCTGAAAATTGAAAAGGTGCGAGGTACTTAAACTCCAAGCACTGTCTTCTTTGATTTGATACCTTCCTGAATGGAGCGAACTATAAAGCCGCTGATAATGGAAGGAGATCACAACAATGCCTTTCTTCCAGATGATATCATGATTAACATTCTCAAAAGACTTCCAGTGAAATCCCTAATCCGATTTCAATGTGTATGCAAACATTGGAGAAATCTTCTCAAGACACCATCATTCATAGCAGATCATCTCCATCATTCTGGTCATCAAAACCCTTCACTTCTCTTCCAATGGCATCAATCCAAATCCTCTAATTACCAATTGAGTTTGCTGGATCGCAACATGCAACTACTTGAAGTTCATAATGCACCTTTGATTGATTACTTCTCAGATGTTCACATATTTGGGTCCAGCAATGGCTTGCTTTGTCTTCTCTTAATAGATGATGATAGTTCTTACCGGTCCATTCTATTGTGGAATCCAGCAACAAGAGAGGCCAGACATGTGCCCATAACTATGAGTGATTTCCAAGGTGTCTGCGATATAGGATTCGGGTACAGTCCAATTGTTGATGATTACAAGATCGTGATAATTTATTCGCGAAGGGACGGGGCACCTTTTAAAGTGAATCAAGTGGAAGTGTATTCATTAAGCACAAAGTCATGGAAAGAAATAGAATTTGGAGTCTTGGAAGGTGTATCTGTGAGTACTGAAACTGTTACAGCTAATGGATCTATGTTTTGGTTTGGGTTCAATGTAGATGAAGATGATGACGAAGATATATATGAATTTGATGATTATGGTTCGATAGTTTCATTTGACATAGCAAATGAAGTGTTTACATTGATACCAATGCCGGATATAGGGTTTTGTCGAGAAGAGATTCTTACTGTGTATGAGAATAAACTTGCTGTACTTTGCAACAAAAGTACAAGATCATTTGATTGGGTTGAAATGTGGGTGTTGACTGAGTCTGCAAGTGATGAATCTGGAGAAAGATGGAGATGGATTGACAAATATTATAGCAATGACTTTGTAGGCTTGTCATGCGTATATCCAATGATTGTTTGGGTGAATCAAATTGTCTGTGAACCTCAACCTCCATTCGAATCTGATGAAGACGAGATTAATGGTGAAGCGAAAGTTGTTCTTTATTTGTCCCATGCCATTACTAATGAATTTAAGAAGATTTCTATCCGCAGGTATGGTGCTGGACATACGATCTACAATTATGTGGAAAGTCTTGTATCAATTGGTAATGTGAAGATCGAAGAAATTGATCCGAAATTTTAGTTAATTTGCTAATTTGCCTTATGTAAAAACTTGGGTTTATAGTTGTTAATATTTCTTGCCAGGATGTCATCCAGAATGATAAATATAGGTATGCCTTTACTCTTCAATGGTCATGGATTCTCTCTAATATTTTTGTATCCTCTCCACTACTTCTCATACCTATCATTGCATGAAATTTATACTGCTCACATTTAATATTTTATTGAGTAAATTTCTCATTCTTTACGATAGTTTTGGGTCTAAGTAAGAGTTTTGTAAATATTTATTTAACATTTTTTAATAATTTATATAATTGAATATTGTAATAATAGTTTTGTAAAATATAAATCAAAACCGTTCTCTTTTGATAACATGCCAATAGGGATGGGAAATGAAGAGCAAAAGAAATGGGAAATAATTTTCAAGTTGTTCAAAGTGCATCTGAGAAAGGAGATTTTGTTTTTCATAGCAAGGAAAAAGAAAGCAGTTTATGACCAAAAAAAAAAAAAACAAGAAGAGTGGTTGTGTTATTTGGAACTGCAATGTTGCTCTGTTGAGTGAAAATCTTACCTTTTGTAAGGTGCTTTGTATGCATTGTTCCTTCTACAATGGATGTATGTTGTTGTTATTGTATGGGTGTGTCAAAAGATTAAGTCATACATTGCTCATATGAAAAGAATTCCAAGAGTATAAGCACAAAAGAACAAAAATAGGCTAGTAGATGGGCTAAGAGAAGAGAAAGAGGAAGAAGACTTGCGCACATGAAAGTGGATTAATGCTAGCCAACTCAGTTAAAAACTAGCAATCCCCCTACACATAATGTACGTAAATATGGTGTCGAGCACTTTTTGTGAAGATATTTTTTTCAAAAATAAAATATATTTATTTAAAAAGAGCTTCCCAACAAGTTCTTGATTTCTAGAATCTTAATCATTGGATATTTTTTAAACATTGAATTTATTTCCTTTAAGCATGCTTATTGGAAAACATTTATCTTTATTTCGAATTGTGATTATCATATTTTATTAAATGCTACTTGGTGTCTTCTCAACACTTAGAAACGCGAACCTTAATGGTGTTTAACGTTTATTTTACCGGTGGATTAATGGTGCCAACAATGTTGTGTCTAATCCTTGCCTATAAATAGCTGTACGTGAGCATGAACAAGGCTGTAATGTCCAAGATATTAACTTATTTTTTCCGTCCCTATTTATAAGGTATTTTTAACTTAATCCCGTCTACCAATAAAGATTTGTTATTTATTTATATCCACATAAAAATACAATAATTTTTTAATTTTATCCTTAATAATATCATAATTAATATCATGATAGTGGTAGGAAAAACATGCAATTAATAATCTATTTCATTTTCTAAGACAAGGGTAAAATTATCTAGTTACTCAAAAATATTATTGTCACCCATTATATTTAAAAACAAAATAAGCTTTTAAAAAATATTTTTTATATAGAGATGGAGGGAGTACATTTAACCATAACTGTGATAATGCCAATCAACTAGTCTAAGAAAAGCACCAAAAAAAGATAGAATCAATCTTAATTATTTGAAAATTTTAAAAATAAATTTTTAAAAAAATTTAAGCAAATAGGATCCTAAAATAACTTAAGTTTGAAAACAAGTAATTAAGGCTCTTCAAAAACCACTTTAAATCATCATAGTACAATTTGTTATGGAAGCATAGAAATAACAAATATAAGTATAAGTATATTTATGTCCAAATAACACATAAATTTAAATTTTATTTTTAAATAACAAATTTTAAAATAGAAATTGTTATTTAAATTTTAATTTATGTGGGAATACAACCTACATGATAGCAAATTATAAAATAATTTTTATGAAAATAAAATAAGTTGTTCACATTGTCAACATGCATGAGGTAGCAAATCAGTTATATACTTTGGAGTTAATTATATGACGTTAAGGAATTTATGTTCCATTGCAAACCTTCTAAACTTCTTTTAACCGTTGTCTTTTTTGTTGTGTGCATACATATAATTGATCAATAATACTATAATATCAATTATGCTATTTGCTTAATTAAAATCATTATTTTATATATACATAATTTTTATTTATTTTTACTTTAGCTATATTTGTGATTTATAAATATTACTATCACACAAGTTACAGTATATAGTTATTATAATACATGTTTCATTTTTCCTAGTAACGTATGAGTCAATAAGTTTTTAAATAAAAAAAATTATTATCTAGATTTTAATTTATATAAAACAACAAATTAGGAGTACACTGAAATAAATTATTTTTTTATGTTCATACTTCTATTTTGTTTTTCCTGTCAAATATTAAATTATCTCCTACGAAAATAAATCTACTTAAAATTTAAATAACAATTTATTCTAATTTAAAATTTATTAATTTTTAAATATTAATTATAACAATATAAATAACAAAAGTGTATTGATAAAATAGAATAGAACTTTGTACACGCCTGGATCGAGCCTGGGTTCTCTCTTATTGGCCTTTTCTATCCTTACAATGTAGGGGTGGGACCCACTAAGGAGCTGGGATTGTGAGGGTAGGAAGGGCAAGGATAGAGACTCGGCTTCTCTCCAGCCTCCTCTGCCTCTCTTTTAAGACAGAAAAATTTGGACTGTTTAGATTTAATTTGAAGGATTTAAATTTAATAATTTTATTTTTATTTTTTATTTATATTTTTAAATTAAAAAATGTATAAAAATTTTAAAAATTTTTTAATAAATATACTAATCAATTTGAAAGTTTATATTTAATATAGATACTTTAGATTTAATATAAAAAATTTAAATTAATTTTTTAGATATATTTTGGACAGTGTAAATATATTCTAAATAGAACAATAAATTTATTAAAATAATTTAAGATTAATTTTCCCGGGCAGTCTAGATTTTTCTTTGCCTCAAAGGAAAAGCAGAGGAGGCTTCTCTCAAAAGAGAGAAGCCGACTCTACTATATATACACTGTTCAGAATATATTTAAAAAGTTAATTTAAATTTTTTATATTAAATTTAAAGCATTTATATTAAATATGAACATTCAGATTGATTAGTCTATTTATTAAAAAAATTTTAAAATTTTTTATACATTTTTAATTTAAAAATATAAATAAAAAATAAAAATAAAATTATTAAATTTAAATTGTTTAAATTAAATATGGATCGTCCAGATTTTTTTCTGCCTTAAATGAGAGGCAGATTCCCAAGGATAGTCCTCCACCAAGAGAGAAGCTTAGTCCTGCCTGGATTTGAGTACATTTCCGTCCTAATTGGAAATAAGAAAATGGAACCAGTCACCTTGAGAATTCTTTGAGGGGAAGAGTAAAAGCCAAACAAGAAAAAAAGAGTAGAAGCCTTTTCCCCCACTTTTTGTGGTTGTTTTTTAAATAAAATATAATCAACTCTCTTTCATTTTGTTAAAAGTATAAACACCTTTCTTCTATTTTAAAATATATTTTTAATTCAATTTTTAGCATTATTAAAAATATTTCGTTAAATATTCTAAAATTTTTATTTTTTATTTGTAATGATATTAAAAAATTAAAATTATTAATTTACCTTTAAAATCAACTCTCTTTCTCATTAAAATAACTTTAAATAATTGAATATGGTAATAAATTATATTGAATTATTTACCTCTTATTATATTTTTATTAATTTTTGGCATACATATTTGAAATATTATTTTTTCCATCTTGTGTACTTAATTTTTTAAATTACTAAATAAAAAAGTTTACATAACTAAAAATTGTAAATATAGATACAAACATATGTATGTACGTAATATTTTTTCGGGTAACTTGAGTGATGTTTAGACAACATCATATTTAAAGAGGGTATTTTAATCTAATGTATATAACTTAAAATATAATTAGCGTTTGGGTGCATGGAAATAAAATCTTAGACGTAGAAGAGAGATTTGGGTTTTGTAGCTCTATTAATTTTAGAAGATATTTATACAATTTTAAAAATAAAATATAGATGTTTATAACTAAAGTAAAATATATTTGGGTCAGTATATTTTACTCTTATTTTAATTAATATACTTCTCTTATTGGGAAGAAGTGAAACTTTAGTTAATTTCATTGAATTTAATCAATTCATTTAATATAAAGATATTAATAATGATTGAATATTTAATATTAAAGCAATTTTAAAGCATATTCTTTTTTCTGTACAAATTTATGTTAAAAAATTAAAGGACAATCTTGATTGATAATCATGATTCCAAATTAAGGAGATGTTAACATTTATTTTAGGAAGAATGACAAATAAATCTCATTATGATGGGCAAATGATAAAAGAAAATACCAGAAAATGTAATGATTACTTTGATATCCCTACGGACTTATGTGACACCAATATTTTTATTAGATTATTTTTTTGACTCTCAACAAAATAATATAACGCGTAGTTGTTAAAATGTAAATTGAAGTTATTAATAACGAAAGTAGAGTTATCAATATAGGACATATAATTGTTAATTTTGCTATGCGGTATATAATAAGTATGTTTCATATTTAATTAACAGCTTCAACTTAGTGATTAATAACTTTAATTTATATATTAATAATACAGATGGTCATCTTTTGTTTATAACTTAGCGATTAATAAGTTAGTGATCATTTTATATTAACTTAGTTATTAATAACTTCTATTTTAAAATAAATGTTTTAATAATTCAATTTTTAGCATTATTAAAAATATTTCGTTAAAATATTCTAACTGTTTAATTTTTATTTGTAATTATGTTAAAAATTAAAATTATTAATTTACCCTTATAAGATAATTGCATACTCTCTTTTCCCTTTAAAGAACTTTAAATAATTATGTAAGGAAATAAATTATATTGAATTATTTATCTCTTATTATATTTAATCTCTATTTTATTAATTTTTGGATTACTAAATAAATAAGTTTACATAATTAAAAATTTTAAATGTGCATACAAAAAATATGTGTGTGCAATAATTTTTTTTGGGTAACTTGAGTGACGTTTAG